TATCTGCAGGCTTGACACCTAACTTTCCAGTTTCTGCCAACAGATCTAGGACATATTTCCTCTGAGAGATAAAGATCCCCTGTTTGGATCTAGCAACCTCAATACCYAAAAAATACCGGAGTGCACCAAGGTCTTTCACCTCAAATTCTTGATGAAAGAGCTGTTTAAGGGACTCAACCTCATGGCTATCATTCCCTGTCACCATAATATCATCAACATATACTGCAAGTAGTGTCAAGGAGGACTCAACCCGCTTGATGAATAGAGTATGATTTGACTGGGCCTGTACGTAACCAAACTTCACAAGGGCTAGTCTAAATCTATCGAACCAAGCCCTAGGTGACTACTTCAAACCATACAAAGCCTTGTTGAGTCGGCAGACCTTCTTACCTGTTTCTGCATCATAGAATCCAGGAGGCAAACGCATGTAAACCTCTTCTTGCAGGTCTCCATTCAGAAAAGCATTTTTCACGTCCATTTGGTATAAAGGCCAAGTGTGACTTGCTGCAAGGGATAATAGGACTCGAATRGTGGTCATCKKGGCTAYCGGGGCAAAGGTCTCCAAGTAATCTATGCCATAAGTCTGGGTGAACCCTTTTGCAACTAACCGAGCTTTATACCTCTCAATGGATCCATCTGCATTGTGCTTCATAGTAAATACCCATCTGCAGCCAACTGGTTTCTTTCCTTTGGGCAGATCAACTAGCTCCCAGGTGTTATTTTTCAATAGGGCATTCATCTCAACATGCATTGCATCTTTCCATTCCAGGGCGGATAGGGCTTTTTGCACTGTTCTTGGAATAGGGACATTGGAAACGGAACTAAGGTTGGACCTGTAGGTAGGAGATAGGCGATCATAGGATAAAAACTGGGAAATACAGTGGGCTATAGATGTGGTACAATGTCGTTTCCCTTTACGGATGGCAATTGGAAGGTCAAGGTCATCTGTAGGAGGTGAAATGGCAACAATAGGAGGTGCCCTTCTTGCTTCTCAGCTTCCTTTTAAACTTCATCTCGGTCAAGTCTCAAAAACAGCATTTGGACTACCAATCACAATCAAAACAGTGTAGGACCAATCTGTATTCACAATGTATGTGCACAAAACAGGTATAACTCTGATCTGAAACCAACTAGCAAACACAACAGCAGCAGTCTGTACAGTTCTCACCCCTTAAGAGAGTTCGAAAACCCCAAAAGGATCTAAAGAAACAGCTTAGAAGTAGGTCTGATATGCTTGGCAGAATTAGGGTTTTAATCAGTCCTTAAAGAGAACATTTCAGTTGCACATTCCAATCAGTACCGTACAGATAGACTTGCAGTAGGGTTAATATGTGTTCGAAAACGTGGGGTTACTAGTTCAGATCTGAAAATAAAATTGTATATATTCCTAGGATTGTGGAATGATTGATTTAGAAAGTTTTTTCTTTCTATTTCTTTCTTTCTATTTTTGTACTATCTATTTTTTCTTCTTTCTATTTTCTTTTCTTTCTATTTTTCTTTCTTTCTATTTATTGCASCARCTTACTATATAAATATGCCCATTGGCAATAGAATGAAACATATCAATATTCTACCATTCCAAAACATGGTATCAGAGCTCTAGGTTTGTCAACCTTGAGATTTT